ATAAATAAATGAATAAAAAGTACAAAATTCTTATCACTATACGAACTTGCTTTGAAAAAATATAAACAATAAGATTTTGTCTTTAAGATTGTGAATCTGAAACAAAACTAAGCAGTAAATCCCATAAGCACTGCCGCTGGTCCATAAAGCCTCCTAATTCTAACTAAAGCTAATATTTAATTAATGACAAATAAATTGATTTGTATTTTTTTTTTTTTTTTCGTATATTGAGTCCCATGCTTTCGAAACATTTCATTGGTATTTTATCAGTTTAAAGTGCATTGATTCATAATATTCAAGTAAAGCCTAGGTTTTCAAGGAAAAAAAAAGAGCCAGGCTTATATTTGACATGGATATTATATCAATATGATATATAATACAATATAATACCTAGGTTTAAATTTTACATGAATCATTATGATATATGTATAATATAATATAGTACAAAAACTCTATATATGAGAATTGTGTATAATGCTTAAGTCTGAGTTTTATAGCATATAGATTCAAGTATATATAGATTATATACACCTTGGGATATGCTTTTATTGATATTAGCAGCAGCATATTTTTTATGCAGCATTGGGGAATACGTAATATACATCTGTATATACTCGCATATGGTTGTGTGTATATATGTCACGTAGCATATGGCAGAGTGAGGATATATTTGCTTTTATGGCAAGTAGTATAACGTTGCAAAAGCATTTTTTTTATGGAACTGTTGGGGAATCTTTTATATTTATCACTACATAGATATACGTATATATGTATGTATGGGTATGTATGTCATTTAGATAGATTGCTTGACTCACTTTTGCATTCGTTGGCATCGTTGTCGGTGGCCCGTCCCCAGGGCCGATCGAAATAGAAGGGTTTGCAGCGCTCGCACTCGGGTCCGGCGGTGTTGTGCTTGCAGGCGCAGGTCATGGCCAGCTTGGCGCTCAGCTGCAGGCCGGACGGAGTGCGTCCRAAGTGGCTGTGCAGGGACGTGGGAATATTGTCGTCGTCCTGGCCATCGTCAGCGTCGGCATGCAGGGCGCTGCTCGACCCAGTGCTGGTGGCAATGCATTCGGAGGCGTGGCCATTGCACTTGCAGCGACCGCCCACAGCGAAATCGGAGACGGCGTAATGCTGCGACACAGACAGCATCTGTTGCATGGAAACGGCAGCGGCACCAGCGACTCCTGCGGCGGCATCCGATGTGCCCGACTGTGTGGATGTTGATGATTTGGCTGGGGGCGTGGTCTTGGCCGGTGCTGGGGGCAATGGCATCGGAGTGCTGACAGTCAATTTGCCCTGGAAGTGCTTCTCGTAGAGGCTGCTCTTGTGCTTGGACTGGCGCTTGCTCTCGCCATCGTTGGCATAGTCCAGATGCAGTTCGTCGTCGAGCTCGAGATGCTTTTTGGGCTCTTCGTACTCCTCCTGATCGTAGCCGGCACTGTCGTTGTCATGCAGATTGTAATCGTACTCATCCTGCTCATCCAGCTCATGGCCATCCAGCTCCTCCTCCTGGCTGGCGGTCATCTCGTCACTGAAGCTGTTCGCATTGCCCTTGGCCCGTTCGCGGCTTAGCAGCAGCTGCGGCGGCAGCTCCAGGCGATGGAAGACCACACGGATATCCGTAGCCGTTACCCAATCCTGCAGCACCAGCGACGAGTCCAAATCGTTGGCCGACGGACGGCCCTCCAGGGTGTTGAAGGCGAAACGCTGTGCGGCGCCACCGCTGGCTGCATCATGTTGCGAGTTCATGCAGCGCGCCTCCTGCTCATTGAACTTGCTGATCTTGGCACGATCCGCCCGGCCGTAAAACTTCTGGCACTGCGAGCTGTAGAACTGGAAGGGCTGCCAGGTCTGGCCAAAGTCGGAGCTCTTGTAGATGGCCAAGGAATCGGGGCGCGGTGATTTGGGGCAGAACGAAAGCGAAATGTAGGTGAGCTCGTATTTCTTGCCCAGCGACAGGGTCAGGGTGACATTGTCCGGCGGCGCAGTGTCCGGATCGTGTGGCACATTGACGCTGCCCGAACGCCAGCAGGTCACGTTGCTCGGATTGTTGAGGTCTGTCAGGGCGGCGGGACCATAGCGATGCTCCGACTTGTCGCAGACGCGGCACTCGCCTGCGCTGCCGTCGCGCTGCAGCTCGCAGAAGCGCTCCGGCTTCTGGGCTCCACAGACGCTGGACGCCTGCACCGGATTGCCGTAGGCGGCGTTCACAAAGCTCGGCAGGCACTTGCGCGGCTTGCCCTCGAAGTAGCATGGATCATTAGCGTTGATGCTGACGCCGGCGGCGGCATGGGCCAGGCAGGCGAGCAGCGCAGCCAATTGCAGCAACAACATCATCTTAGGGTCTTTAGCTAAGCCAAATGCAGATTCCAATTCTCCCTCTCACTTTTGCTCACTTTATATATCTTTCTCTTTAGCTCTCTTGCTCACTCGTTCACTCTTCTTTGGCTGTTTCACACTCTTTGTAGTTGTAATCTTCTTGCAGTGTATGTGTCTCTGTCACTCGCGAGGATCAATGGGCGAACGGTGTAGGCACAAAACAAAAAAACAACAAAAACACGCAAAGACACGCAGCACGCGGCACGCGGACGCTGAGCGGCGGCGTCACTGAGTCTGGCACGGCGGCCGCATGCAACAGCTGCCGCTCCGATTTACGATTTCCGATTTCAATTTCGGTTTCTCTTGCCACTGTCTGCTGCTTGATTCCCACTCACTACTACACAAACACACTCCCTCTCTCTCTCTCTCTTTCTCTCTCACTATCKGTATCTCTTTCTGGCACTTGTTCAGCTATGGCGTTAGTAGCGCTCCTCTGCTGAGGGAAGAGACCGATGCGATTGCGATGCAACTCGGTCAACGGCCAGCGTTGTTCTGTTTTGTTCACGTCCTCGTCGCGTATCCTGCAGGCGAGGCGACAAACAGACGACAGCAAGCCAAATGATTTGTTGCTCGTGTTGAGTTTCTGCTGCTGCTGCTTCAGCTTCAGCTTCGCTTCGTTTCGTTATTTGGTCTCGGCCAATTTCACCACTGCATGTTGCGGAGGCTGCTGCTGCTGCTGCGGCTGCTGCTGCTGGCCGCGAAATGTTGCTACACTAATAGCGAAACCAAAACAAAAAAAAAAATACCAACAAAATTTATACGACACACATACGCGCGTGGGCTGAGCGCCAAAGCACGAGCACTGCCACTGTCACTGACAAAACAACAACAGCAACAAAAACACGACGACAAATACACAGACAATAAACACGACTCGAATTCGTTCGCTCTTCGTTCGCCTTGCGTCGGCTTCGTTGTTCACCTGGCAAACGTTTGTCCGTTACTGAACGTTCGCAGCATCTCGGGCCGGTCGCTTGCCGGCTGCTGTTGCTGCTGTTGCTGTTGCTGTTGCCGTTGCTGCTGTTGCTGTTGCTGCTGTTGATGTTGCTGCTCGCTATGCTCTGTTCGTTGTGGGCCGCAACACGCGCGCTCTCTTTGTCACCCTATCGCTTACACTCACTCTCTCTCTCTCTCCGGCTTAGTTTAATGTTGGCGTTACTTTCATGCGCTGCACAGTGGTTTGGCAAGTTCTTATTGGAATTTCTGTTAATTGAGAAGATTTAATGCTACCGATATTTTTGTTAATGAAAATATTTTTAATTAAATTAATTAATTAAAAATGTT